GTTTTGTTTGTTTTTATTATTTGAGGTGGACTTGCTCTGTCGCCAGTCTGGAGTGCAATGGCACGATCCTGGCTCACTGCAACTTCCACCTCCCAGGTTCAAGCAATTCTCCTGCCTCAGTCTCCCGAGTAGCTGGGACTACAGGCGCCCACCAGCATGCCCAGCTAATTTTTGGGCAACTAAACTAGTAGCGACAAGTTTTCACCATGTTGGCCAGGCTGGTCTCGAACTCCTGACTTCAACTGATCCACCCACCTCGGCCTCCCAAAGTACTAGGATTACAGGCATGAGCCTCCGCACCTGGCCTGCCTTGGGCTTTGAATGTAAGGATGCAAGGAATGTTCAAGCTGCTGCCACCATTTGTGACCAGAAGGAGCCAACAGTGCAAACACACAGTGTGGTAAGTGAGAGGTGGGCACCAGGGTCCTTGTGAGATCAGTGGGCCCCTGGGCTGGCCCCTGGGCTGCTGACCACTGGCCTTCTTGTTGTGAGAAAAATACCAAACTCCTAATATTTAAACCACTTGGGGTTGGTTTTTGTTGTGTGTGTGGGAGGGTTTTTTTGTTGTTTTTTGTTTTGTTTTTTTGGAGACAGGGTCTGCTCTGTTGCTCAGGCTACAGTGCAGTGGCACAATCCTAGCTCACTGCAGCCTCAACCTCCTGGGTTCAAGCAATCCACCTCAGCCTCCTGAGTAGTTGGGACCACAGGCACATACCACCACACTCAGGCAATTTTTGAAGTTTTTTGTAGAGATGGGGTCTTGCTATGTTGCCCAGGCTGGTCTCAAACTCCTGGGTTCAAAGCGATCCTCCAGCCTTGGCCTCCCAAAGGGCTGGGATTACAGGTGTGAGCCACTGCACCCAGCCAATGGATTCTTTTAATACATCTCCCACCCCAAACTGTTTTCTCTTCCCCAAGTCCCCAAGCTCCCCCCATCACTTTGGCAGGAGCTGGACTCGGAGGGGAGGGGAAGCTTGATATCCACTGCCCGGACTGAGAGGGTCATTTTCAGCAAAAGACCCAGAAAAGGCTTTGAGGCTCCAAAAACTTAAGACTTGAGGGGAGTAAAGGATTAGAGGAAAAAAATAAATAAAACTTGATGAGTCAGAGAAAGGCCTTCCAGCCCCAAGGCTAGAACAGGTTTCTGGGTCAGGGAGGAGAAAAACTGGAGAAGGCTCGCATTTTGGGATATTTCAAGATGTTTCGGGCATATCTTATACTTTTCCTGCCCCAAGAATTTCAGTTATTTTTTTTAGAGACAGAGTCTCGCTCTGTTGCCCAGGCTGGAGTGCTGTGGTGCAATCTCTGCTCACTGCAACCTCCGCCTCCCAGGTACAAGCGATTCTCCTGCCTCAGCCTCCCGAGTAGCCAGATTACAGGTGCACGCTACCACTCCTAGCTAATTTTTGTATTTTCAGTAGAGACGGGGTTTCTCCATGTTGGCCAGGCTGGTCTTGAACTCCTGACCTCAAGTGATCTGCCCACCTCGGCCTCCCAAAGTGCTAGAATTACACGCGTGAGCCACCACACCCGGCAAGAATGCAGTTTTAGAACAAGATCCGGATGCCCAGTGTGGTGATTACTACTGCAGTGTTACTGTGTTTAGGTCATTTTGGCAGACAAAGCTAGGAAATTCACAAATACACACACATATATGTATGTCTACTTATATATCTTCCCATCTATTTATGTTAAAATCCTTGAGTTGGCCGGGCGCGGTGGCTCACGCCTGTAATCCCAGCACTTTGGGAGGCCGAGGCGGGTGGATCACGAGGTCAGGAGATCGAGACCACCCTGGCTAACATGGTGAAACCCTGTCTCTACTAAAAATACAAAAAAATAATAATAATAATAATTAGCCGGGTGTGGCGGCGGACGCCTGTAATCCCAGCTGCTGGGGAGGCTGAGGCAGGAGAATGGTGTGAACCTGGGAGGTGGAGCTTGCAGTGAGCCGAGATCGCGCCACTGCACTCCAGCCTGGGCGACAGAGCAAGACTCGGTCTCAAAAAAAAACAAAACAAAACATAACAAAAAACCGTGAGTTTACTCTAATATCTCCCACTCTCCTCTAATGCTAGAGGGTTCATTCTACTCTTCATCCCATAAACCCAGAAAATCTGAGACGGGTCTCAGTTAATTTAGAGAGTTTATTTTGCCAAGGTTGAGGATGCACGCCCGTGACACAGCCTCAGGAGGTCCTGGAGACATGTATCCAAGGTGGTCGGGGCACAGCTTGGTTTTATACATTTTAGGGAGACATGAGACATCAATCCATATGTGTAAGATGTACATTGGTTTCATCTAGAAAGGCAGGGACAACTCAAAGTAGGGAGAGGGCTCTAGGTCACAGGAAGGTGAGAGACAAATGGTCGTATTCTTTGAGTTTCTGATAAGCCTTTCCCCTGTAATCCCAGCTTCTCAGGAGGCTGAGGCAGGAGATGGAGGTTGCAGTGAGCTGAGATCGAGTCACTGCACTCCTGTCTGGGTGGAGAGAGAGACCCTGTCTCAAAAAAGAAGAATGCCTTTACCATCTGGGAATGCAGTCCAGTAGGTCTCAGTCTTATTTTATTCAGCTGCTATTCAAGATGGAGTTGCTCTGGTTCAAACATCTCTGACACTACTGCCCCCTAAACATCTCTGAAGTTCATCTGTTCCTCTCCCCAGTCATGACCTCTACCCAAGGTCATGCAACCATCACCTCTCGCCTGGACAGCTGCGACAGATTCTGCCAAATTCTGCCTGCCCAAACCTTTGATTCCCACACAGTTCCTCTAGACCAGAGCTTCTGAACCTTCAGCTGCCTAGAAATCGCCTGCAGAGTTTGTAGAAACACAGAAACTCTGGCTCCCATTCCCAGCAATCTAATTCCGATTCAGAAGGTCCCAGGTCAACTGAGAATGTTTACTTTTTTTTTTTTTTTTTTTTTTTTTTTTTTTTTTTTGAGATGGAGTCTTGCTCTGTCACCCAGGCTGGAGTGCAGTGGTGCAACCTCGCCTCACTGCAATCTGTGCCTCCCAAGTTCAAGCTATTCTCCCGCCTCAGCCTCCTGAGTAGCTGAAATTACAGATGCCTGCCACCATGCCCGGCTAATTTTTGTATTTTTAGTAGAGATGGGGTTTTGTCATGTTGGCCAGGCTGGTTTCAAAGTCCTGACCTCAAGTGACCCACCCGCCTCAGCCTCCCAAAGTGCTGGGATTAAAGGTGTGAGCCACCACGCCCGGCCTAATTTTTGCATTTCCAGCAAGCTTCCCTAGGGCATCTCCTAGAGGAACCCAAGATGTTGCGGGGGCTGAGACTGCACATCTTCAGGTTATACTTCCAGCAGCAAGACTCTCTGTGCTGTCCAATACAGTAGCCACTAGCCACATGTGGCTATTTAACTTATTAAAATAAAATTTGCCGGGTGCAGTGGCTCACACCTGTAATCCCAGCACTTTGGGAGGCCGAGGCGGGTGGATCACAAGATTAGGAGTTTGAGACCAACCTGGCCAACATGGTGAAACCCCCGTCGCTAATAAAAATACAAAAATTAGCCAGGCATGGTGGCAGGCGCCTGTAATCCCAGCTACTCAGGAGGCTGAGGCAGGAGAACTGCTTGAACCTGGGAGGCAAAGGTTGCAGTGAGCCGAGATCACAGCACTGCACTCCAGCCTGGGCGACAGAGCAAGACTCCATCTCAAAAAAATAAATAAATAAAATAAAACTTAACATTCAGTTCCTCAGTCACGCTGGCCACATTTCAACCACTCAATAGCCACAGGTTCCTAATGGCTACCCTATGGAACAGCACAGATTATAGGACATTTACATCATCGCAAGAAGTTCTGCTGGACAGTGCGGCCTAGACCTTGGTGAGTTCTACTGGACAGCATAGCCTAGACCCAAGATTCGTTCTAAAAAATGAAGGCTGGCTCACACCTATAATCCCACCACTTTGGGAGGCGGAGGTGGAAGAATCGCCTGAGACTAGGAGTTTAAGACCAGCCTGGACAACATTCTTTGTCTCTACAAAAATTCTGAAAATAAAAAATAATAATAAAAAAACTGGGCAAGGTGGCATGCACCTGTAGTCCCAGCTACACCGAAGGCTGAGGCAGGAGGATGGCTTGAGCCCAAGATTTCAAGGCTGCAGTGAGCTATGGTCGAGCAACTGCACTCCAGCCTGGGCGACAGAGTGAGACCGTCTCAAAACAAAACAAAACAAAAATAAAACAAAATAAATACAAACACAAAGTAAAAATGAAAGCTAATCCTAGGCCCCCTCTCCTGCCCACGAGAATTCAGGGACTCCCCAGTGCCTACAAACCTCATGCTTTTAGGAAGCATAAAGGACTTCGGGAGGCAGGAGAGCAGTTGGAGGGGGACGGTGGAGGTGCTGCTACCTGACGGTGGAGGGGGAGGCCGGGGCCAGACCACGGAGAAGCCCCTAAACCCGCACAGCAGGAAACCTCTCAGCAGTCCCTGCTCCACCCAGGCTGGAAGAGGGCCACAAGCCTTGAGCTCATTGGCTGGCGGTAGGGGGCGGGCTGCCAGTGCCTTCCTTTGATTGGCTATTTTCTCTTGGCGGAAAGCCAATCATTGCGGGCTGGTGCTGAGGATGTGGCCAGGATCGCCGCACAGGCCTTGCCCGGAGTACAGGTGCCCACGCCAGGCGCTCTCGATTGGCGGTGAGTTCTGACTCCGGCCTCCTTCGAGACCCTTTTGCTCCGGATGTCGCCCACCTCCGACCCTCTCCCAGTCGGAGGGCGGGAAAGAGGAAGACAGGTCCTTCCTCCAGCTGCGGGGCACCCTGCCCCTTCCCCGAGCCCTGCAGCCCCAGAGTGTAAATATCCAAGCCCGCCCTCTCTGCGCCCAATGTCGCCATCTGGGATAGGGGCCGGGATAGGGGTCGCGTTGGTGGTCTGGCAGCCTCCTCTGCAGGGGGAGGAGGGAAGGGGGAAAGGAGGGGATGGGTGATTGAGGTGGACTTCGAGACAGGGCAGCCGTGTCCCCGCAGCAGCATGGCCCAGGAGGAGGGTGGGAGCCTGCCCGAGGTGCGGGCGCGGGTCGGGGCCGCGCATGGCATCCCCGAACTGGCCCCAAAGCTCCACTTCTATGACCGCGGACTCCTCACTACGACCAGGTAAACTCATCTGGGACCTTGCCTCCACTAGACCAGCCTCCATTTTTCTACCTGTAAAGTGGGGAATCAGCCTTGCACCCGGGGGCAGCTGTGAGAATGAAGTGAGGCCTGGCTAAGAACCCTACAGTCCTGCCCCTTCCAGAACCCGCCCCACAGCTCTGGATTGGCAGCACCATCAGGGGCCATGAGGTCTGCCTGGAGGAGGTGCTGTTGAGAAGGCACTGTGGGGCTGGGCGCGGTGGCTCACGGCTATAATCCCAAACCGTTTGGGAGGCTGAGGCGGGCGGATCACCTGAAGTCAGGAGTTCGAGACCAGCCTGGCCAGCATGGTGAAACCCTGTCTCTACTAAAAATACAAAAATTAGCCAGGCCCACGTGGTGGCAGGCGCCTGGTAATCCCAGCTACTCGGGAGACTGATGCAGGAGAATTGCTTGAATCCGGGAGGCAGAGGTTGCAGTGACCCAAGATCTTGTCACTGCCCTCTAGCCCAAGCGGCAGAGGGAGACACTGTCTCAAAAAAAAAAAAAAAAAAAGAGAGAGAGAGAAGTCATGTGGACTCAGCAGAGAGAGCTGCCTTGGCCAGGAGAGAAGGTCCCTGGAGGACTGAGTCTACCATACAGTGGGCTGGGGGCTAACTCTCCAGTCCTGGCCCTATAGCAATGGGAAGTACCTCATGCCTGGGCATCCCCTCATAGTAGCCCCAGCCAGGCTTGATCCCCAACACACACAGCTTGGCCCGGCATACTCCGAGACCACCCACAAGGGGGATCCCCCAGACACTAGGGCACCGGTGTTGTAGGCCTGGCACTCTTTCCTCAGGATGTGGCCACCCTGCAGTACCATGCCCCCCGCCTCGCAGTCGCCTCACACAAACCCTTCCAGGCCTGCCCCACAGTGCCCTGATCCTGGACGTGGCCTGCGGCACAGGCCTAGTGGCTGAGGCTCTTCCAGATCCCCCGCCTACTCCTTAGCCCCACACTTCCTCAAATCTCCTACTGTCCCTGGCCCCAGAACCCTGCACCATGCCTTAGACTCACTGTTCCAAATGCATGAGACGGGAACAGGCACAGTGGCTCGAACCTGTAATCCCAGCACTTTGGGAGGCCGAGGCAGGAGGACAGCTTGAGGCCAGGAGTTTGAGGTCAGCCTGGGCAACATAGCAAGACCCCTGTCTCTACAAACAAATTTTAAAATTAGCCAGGCAGGGTGGTGCACACCTGTAGTCCCAGCTACATGGGAGGCTGAGGTGGGAGGATCACTTGAGGCCAGAAGTTCAAGGCTGCAGTGTGCTGTGATCATGCCATTGCACTCCAGTTTGGGGGACAGAAAGAGATCTTGTCTCAAAATTTTTTGAAAAGCAAACGCATGGGCCACATTCAGTGCAGAATCCACTGCCCTCCCAAGGCACAGGGACCCAGCCGGGAAGTGGCAAGTGTGAACCATGACTGAGTCTCCCACCCCTACCCCAGCTGCGGGCTCGAGGCTTCCTCCAGCTACATGGGGTGAATGGGAGCCTAGGGATGCTGGAACAGGCTGGGGCCCGCGGCCTCTATCAGCACCTCAGCCTCTGCACCCTGGGCCAGGAGCCTCTGCCTGGCCCTGAAGGTACTTCCTCTCCCATCCCAACACCCCACAGTGCCCCCTCATAAAGCCCTTTCCCTTGCCGAACCTCCATCCCCCTCCCACACTAAGCCCCCAGTCCCTCACTCAATCCTGCACCCCATGATCTGACTGCAGCCCAGAACTGGGCCATACTTACCTTATCCTCCAGGGAACCTGGGTCCTGCAGATGCGGGTGATAGCTTCGTCCCCTCCAGGGTGGTCTGAGGCCACACCATAGACAAAGCACCTTCCAAGCGTCACACCATGTCCCCACCCCTCCCCACGCACACTGGGACCTTCGACATGGTACTGATAGTTGGCGCCCCCAGTGATGGCCAGGTGCCCTGCAATGCGATACCTGAGCTCCTATGTGTCACCAAGCCAGGTGAGGAGCAGCCCAGCCAAGCACCCCCAATCCCCATCACCATACACCTTCCCCTCTGCACAGCACAGACACAGGCCCCAGAGTCCCTCAGGCTAAGCGAGGGGCAGCGTTCTGCCCATCGCCACATACAGCCTAGCCTAACATCCCAGCCACCAACGGCAGACCCACGCAAACAGGCGGGGCAGACAGGTGGCCAGCTTGGCTCTTATCCATGGGCAACCAGGAGCAACTCCACCCTCCCCTGCAGCCTCCATTTCCTAGCCCAGGAGCCAGGTGGTATAAATGCTACAATCCCGTCCCCATAGGACTAAAGTGAGAATCAGGTGAAATCCTGTCTCTAAAGCTTTTGCTTTGGTCCCGGCCACAGCGAGGGCTCAGTTCTGTTCCCTCCTCTGCCTGCTTCCTCACTCATTCGTGGACTGCCTTCGGGGCGTCTCTTTCTCTTTCCTGGTCTGTTTCCTCATCTGGGAAATAGGGCTGCTTAGGGGAGATGAGAGCTGTGAGCATTGTTTGTAAACTCCACACATCGTGCTATCCAGGCAGGTGTATCTCCCGTCTCCTGCTGTGTTCTTGCTCGGGGCTTTTCTCTGCTCTAGGCAGAGGGCTCAGACCCTGCCCTCTGGGCCTTGATCTCCAACCCACTGGGGCCCAGCAAGGGGCCAGAGAGCACAGGGTCTGGTCAGAGGTGGCCCCACCAGAGCCGTGAGTGCTCATTGCCCCCAGAATTTATTTACTTATTTATTTGTTTATCTAATTTGAGACAGAGTCTCGCTCTGTCGCCAAGGCTGGAGCATAGCGGCACGATCTCAGTTCACTGCAACCTTCAAGAGATTCTCCTGCCTCAGGCTCCCAAGTAGCTGGGATTACAGGAGCCCACCACCGCGCCCAGCTGATTTTTGCATTTTTAATAGAGACGGGGTTTCATCATGTTGGTCAGACTGGTCTCGAACTCCTGACTTCAAGTGATCCACCCGCCTTGGCCTCCCAAAGTACTGGAATTACAGACTTGAGCCACCACGCCTGGCCCTGCTCCGAGAATGTAGAGAAGAGAGGCATTTCTGAGACCCGGTGAGGAATCCACGTAGGGCACAGCCTAAGGCAGAAAGGAGAGGGGCTGAGCATGAGAACCAGGAGGCACAGGACAGGAAATCACAGAGGGAAAAATGCTTCCTCTCCCTCCTCTCTCCGCACCCCTTGCCAGGCCCAGCAGAGACTGTGGCTAAGCCTGGGCAGGTCTGGACAGGCATCCAGGGGAGCCCTGAAGGCTGACAAATGCAGAGACATGGATGAGGTCAGCCGAAAAGGTCGAAGTTGGGCCAAAAAAGACAGGAACTTTCTACTGGGTGAAGCAGCCAGGATCGGACATCCTAGACCAACCTGTGCTTGCTAAGCCTTTCAACCCCATTGGGCTGCCCATGGGTGACGGGCTCCCCTGCTCCAGAGCCTCTCCTCTCACCGCACTCCCTTCTACCAGCAACGCCTTGCTTCTCCTTACCCCCTCCTCCGGGAACCTTCCCAGACCAGTCACTGGGTCTTCCCCATCTCTCCTTCTCAGTGCACCTGAGGCCACCCTGGGCACACTATAGGTGCCTGGACCTGAGGTGACAAGGTCATTCAGCCAGCACTTACTGTCAGGCACTTCAAACACACATCCCAGCCTTCCTGTGATGTTAGATAATCATCCTCTGTGCCAGCTGGGAAACTGAGGCCCAGAGAGGTGAAGGGACTAGCCCAAGATCCAAAGCCCACATGCGGGTTTTCTTCCTGTCCATTCAGACACAGTCATATCCTCCGGCAGAGGTGTGGGTGAGTGGTGAGGAGGGCGTCTCCTCAATCCAGGAGATTAAGTCAAGAATTCCCCACCAGGCACAGCAGCTCACCCCCATAATCCCAGCACTTTGGGAAGCCAAGGCAGGAGGACTCCTTGAGCCCAGGAGTTCAAGAGCAGCCTGGACAACATAGCAAGACCCCATCTCTAAAAAAAAAAAATTAATTAGCTAGGCGTGGTGGTGAGCACCTATGGTCCCAGTTACTCAGGAGGCTGAGGTGGGAGGATTGCTTGAGCCCATGAGTTGGAGGCTACAGTGAGCTATGATTGCGCCACTGCACTCCAGTGTGGGAAATAGGGTGAGATTCTATCTCAAGAAAAAAAAAAAGCGGGGAGCGAGGCACAGTGGCTCACGCCTGTAATCCCAGCACTTTGGGAGGCCAAGGCAGGCAGATCGCCTGAGGTCAAGAGTTCGAGACCAGCCTGGCCAACATGGCAAAACTCCGTCTCTACTAAAAATACAAAATAGCTGGGTGAGGAAGAAAGGAAGGAAGGAAGGAAGGAAGGGAGGGAGGGAGGGAAGTAGCAAGAAGTGATGGAGAAGACCCCTCCCTGGGGCCTCCCGGGGTCACTCCTTCCAGGGTGCTGGGTCTGCTCACCTCCAACTTACTGACAAGAAAATGAGAAAATGAAGCCCGAGCAACCTTAGAACATCCTTTCCACAACAGCGGCAGGGCAGACCCAAGGCCAAGGCCAAGCCCAAGTGGTTGCTGAGGCCCAAGCCCTGTCCTGGACAGCTTCCCCACCCAAATTCGGAGTCCAAATTCCTAAGCTGTAGGTCTGGGCCTGGGCCACACTCCATTCCCTCATCGATCGAGGAATCAGAATGCCGAGCTCTGGACGTGGCTTGGAGGCTGCCCTCCAGGTGAAAGGCATTTGGTGACCCTCAGCACCTCAGGGGTTTGAACAGGGCTGATAATAATTTCTCCATCCAAGAGAGTGGGAAGGCTTCATGGGGGAGGCGCCTGGGAGCTGGGCTTTCAGGACAAGCAGGATCCAGAAGGGTGGAGGAGGGAAAAGGGACATTCCAGGCTGGGAGCAGGGACCGGCTATGCAAAGGCTGGGAAGGGGAACCTGGGTGACTCAGCAAAGAGGAACAGACCAGCCTGGCTGCCCAGACAAAGCTGGAGCAACAGCGGGGTGGGGGTGGCTGGTGGCCCATACCTCAGAGCTGGGAGCGTATGTGGGCACCTCCCTCCTAGGGTCCCCAACCCTTCACCGGGGTCCCAGGCATACACTGTTTCCTGTATACGGGTTTACCCTCCAACCAATGAAGGGCCCTCATCTGGACAAAGTGATACCTTGGGGGCCTATCTCATTTTTTTTTTTTTTTTTTTAGGGGATGGCTTGGGGGTTCATTTCTTTTTTTTTAAACTTTGATACTTTGGAGGCCCATTTAATTTATTTTTTAAGGTGACACCTTGGAGGCCCGTTTCGTTTTTTTTGTTGTTGTTAAGAGATAAGGTCTCGCCCCGTCACCCAGGCTGAAGTGCAGTGGTGCGATCAAAGCTCACTGCAGCCTCATAAACTCCTGGGCTCAAGCAATTCGCTTACCTCAACCTCCCCAAGTACAGGGATTACAGGCATGAGCCACCAGGCCCAGCTCATTTTTTAAACTTTTTGGAGAGATGGCGCCACGATGTTGGGCAGGCTGGTCTCAAACTCCTGCCTCGAGCGATCCTCCCACCTCGACCTAGTAAAGTGCTGGGATTACAGGTGCTCACCGCCACACCCAGCCCAGCTCCAGTTTTTCACAGTTCCCTGGATCTCGTCGTTTTTTTTTTTTTAAGTGTTCATGTACTGGCCAAAACACAGCGGCCTTGCCCCTCACCTACCCCCTGCCCAGGCCTCCAGCCCTGCCCCACCCACCTCCACAGCTGAAATCAGAGACAATACAAGTTCCTCCTGTGCACAGGTTCCATTTATTGTAGAAAATAATAATAATTACAGTGATGAATAGATCTTCTTAAATTACAAAACAGAAACCACGAAGAAGGAGGAGGAAAAACCCCAGGACTCCCGAGGGTGAAGCCGCCCCTCCTCCCTGCCACCCTCCCAGGCTGGTTAGTGTCCTTGGCAGGGGCAGAGGACTCAGAGGGGATCAGTCTCCAGTGGCCCAGGGCTGAAGTGGGTGAGGCAGAGAGTCCTGAGGCCACAGAGCTGGGCAGCCTGAGCGGCCTCTCTGGCCCCCTCCCCCACCACTGCCCAAACCTGTTTACAAAGCCTTCACCCCTCCCCTCCAAACCCGTCCATCCACTCTGCCCTCCTCAGGCAGGTGGGTGGGCAAGGCCTCAGCCATACTCCTGGGTGCGGGTTTCGGTGAGCAAGGCACAGTCCTAGAGGTGACATCGAGGCCTGCCCGGAACAGAGGAGATGCAGGCAGACAGAGTGGGGAAAATGTAAATGGGGACAGTGGCCAACACCGATGCAGACAGAGCCCAAAGTCACGGTTGAGCCATCCTGGCCAGCAGAAGCCAGCTCCCCACTCCACTGCCACACCCTGTCACTTCCGTCCCTCCACAATATCCAGAGGAGGGTGGACTCTGTTCTTGCTAGTAGGAGGCGGCCCTGGGAAGGTGTCCGAACGGGCCAGAGAGGCTGAAGGCTGCTGCCTTCCTGCCTGGCTCAGTCTCTGCCCAGTCCCCAGTCCCCAGCAGCCAGGGGCCCGTGGCAGGGCCCTCCTGGGGTCACAGCCTGTGCTGAGCTCAGTCCAGGGAAGAACAAAGCAGAGAGGGACAGAGTGGAGCCGTGGCACCTTACACGTAGTTGCTGGCAGCAGCAGAGCGGGCGGCAGAATACTTGGCAGAGTAAGGCTTGTCTGTGCGGGGTGGGCAGTTGCAGCAAAGCAGCCCCCCACCAAGTAGCAGCAGGCCGGAGGCAGCCCAGCCGACGTAGAGCGAGGCACCCATCTCCCGCTTCTGCCCGGAGGCCACCAGCGGGTTGTAGAAGTCTTGGATGATGTTGTGGGCCGTCCAGGACACGGGCACTATCACCAGCAGGCCGGCCAACAGGAACACCACACCTGCCACGATCATGGTCTTGGCCTTGGCACTCTCATCCTCCAGGCAGTTGGTACACTTGCCCCCCACCACGGACAGCAGCACGCCCAGAGCGGCCACGATGATGCTGATGATGACGAGGGCGCGGGCCGCCTGCAGGTCCTGCGGCAGCGCCAGCAGCGAGTCATACACCTTGCACTGCATCTGGCCGGTGCTCTGCACCACGCAGTTCATCCACAGGCCCTCCCAGATGGTCTGCGAGGTGACGATGTTGCTGCCAATGAAGGCCGTCACGCGCCACATGGGCAGCGCGCAGCACAGCATGACGGCCAGCCAGCCCAGGACGGCCAGCGCGATGCCCGTCACCTGTAGCCCCATGGAGGCCATCGCTCAGCGTCCGCGGAGGTTGAGGACCTGGAAGGCTGAGGGGATCCGGCTGTGGAGGCCGTAGGATTCCAAGCGCTGGGGACGGACTTAACGTTCACAGAGAGCTCCTTTGCGCTGTGAGTCAGGAGAAAAAGCCAGTCCTGATGCACAAGCCAGCGAGTGTGAGCAGACCAGTTCCTTCCAGCCGACAGCTGCCAGGGCACTCTCTCTCTCAGGACAGGTTGAGCAGTTATATGGCTCTGGCAGAGGGGCGGGGGCAGAGGGAGGGGTTTTCGTCACTGGGACCTCCTCCTGACCAGTTTCTCTGGATTCCTGAGCCCAGGCCAACAAAGGCACTTTTGAGGCCCCTGCCCCTGGTCCCTGAGTCACTATCCAGTCTCAGAAGAAACTACCCTCTCCCCTTCCTCAAAGCCCATGCTGAGGTCACCCGGGAGACAGACACTGAATCACAGCCCAGGGACAGCTGGATATTCACAGGGCAAGGCCAGGGGGCAGCCAGACCAGCCAGGTTTGGGATCCTGAAGACCAGGGTCCCCACAGGCCAGGGTCCCCTCATTCTAGGTTTAGGTGGGAGGACAGGGTGGAGACCCTCAGGGAGAGAGTTTGAGGATGCAGTCTTGGAAACATCCACGAGAAACCGCACCTTGATTACTGTCCTTTCTTGTCCTTATCAGTTTCATCACTGGCAGTTTCACTGCTGTTGTGATTATGATCACTCATGCATCTGGCCTCACCAGCAGCCTCTGCGGCACTGGCTGGATAAAGTTACGTGTAGGGGAGTGAGGAGCCGGAAAGCCGGGACTCCTGGGTACATCACCCACTCTCACCCATCTCTATCACCTGCTTCTCTGTTTGGCTAGAAGAGGGGCCTTGGACATGATGCACCTTTAGCCAAAAAGAGACAGAAGCCTGCCCCTCTCCACCTCCACAGAAGTTTAGTCTGGTGGGCTCTGTTCCTGCCAGGGGCCACCCTGCTTGCCCAGAACTGGGTGGGGCTGGTCACCAACGACGACAAACATTAACTAGATCCTGGAGACATCATCACCCCAGTAAATGGATGTTTACCCTGTGGAGACATACAAAGCCTTCCAATAAAGCCAGGGTGGGTGCAAAGTCCCATGAGATTTCAAAGAGAAGGGGAACTCTTCCGGGGTAGGGAGGTGTGGTGCTGGGGGAGCTTGACTGCAAAGGGGTGCTGGGTGGCACAACTCCTGGGGGCACTGGATTCTTGGATTATGCCACAGAAGGCATCATGAACGGGTCCCCCAGAAAAGGTTTGCAAGGCAACGGGACTGGCTGAAGGAGGACATTCTGGTAGACGGTGGGCCAGGCTGAACAAACGCAGCTCGTTCTGGGAACACAGCCCTTAGGAGAGATGTGCAAGGCAGCGAGACTGGTGAAGGAGGACATTCGGGCAGAGAGAACAAGGGCAGAGGTGGCAAGGTGGGGAAGGGCAGCTTGTTCTGGGAACAGCCAGGAATCCAGTTTGACCAGAGACTGGGCTGGGGAGGGAGGTTCCAGAGTAAAAGAGTCAGAAATTTCTGCCGGGAATGTCACCGAGCCCTGGGAGATGGAGGGAGGGAGGAGGGTCTAGGATCAGGAAGATCTTGGTTCAGGGCAGATGACTGAGGGGACCTCTGGGAAGGGGTCATCGTGGGGGTGATCGAGAGTGTCTAGGGCTCATCCCAGCAGCACCGAGGGAGCCCCTCCTCACCCGCCGTGTGGTCATTTTGCATCTCTCATCCAAACCCTGCTGGGAACTCTGCAGGGGCCAGGGCTCCAGTGTGTCCCTGAGCTGCCACCATTGTCCAGCACTGGTGGCTGTGTGCCCAGTTCAGACCCAGAGGGATGCATAGTCCTTGAGCTTCCTGAGGGAAAGTCATCAAGGGTGCCATGGTTTGGGTTGAAGCAATCAGTGAGTACCCACGGGAGGTATTTGAGACGGATCTGTTGACCGGCTAATGAAGCACCGGACAGGCTGGAACAATCTAGCATGATCCACCCATGTTACAGATGGGAAGTTGAGGCCTGGTATTGTGGTTAACTCTATACACATCTATCTCCCCTGCTAGCCTGGGGCTCCTGGAAGACAGGAACAATGCCTTCTGCAACCTCAGTGCCCAGCACCGGGCTTGATACATCACAGATGCTCAAGAAATGTTAGAAGTGGTTGCTGCGGCTCATGCCTATAAGGCCGGCACTTTGGGAGGCCAAGATGGGAGGATCGCTTGAGGCCAAGAGTTGGAGGCCGCAGTGAGCCATAATCACACCATTGCACTCCAGCCTTGGGCAACAGAGCAAGACCCTGTCTCAAAAAAAAAAAAAAGAAAGAAAAAGAAATGTTTGGGCAGGGTGCGGTGGCTCATGCCTGTAATCCCAGTACCTTGGGAGGCCAAGATGGGCGGAACATGAGGTCAAGAGTTCGAGACCAGCCTGGCCAACATGGTGAAACCCCACCTCTACTAAAAATACAAAAATTAGCTGAGTGTGGTGGTTCACACCTGTAATCACAGCTACTCAGGAGACTGAGGCAGGAGAATCGCTTTAACCTGGGAGGCGGAGGTTGTGGTGAGCCGAGATCACGCCATTGCACTCCAGCCTGGGTGATAGAGCGAGACTCCGTCTAAAAAGAAAAGAAAAGAAAAAAAAAGGAATGTTTGATGATGTAAAGAATGAAGCATTCTCCAGTTTCAAACCACACTCCTACACCTTGACCCCCATCATAAGCACACTCACCAAAACAAACAGGGATGGTTTCTGCCCGGACCACGCCTCCCTGGGGCTTTCTTTACAAGGCTCTCTCCGCACACAGAGCCTATGGGCTAAATAACACCAGAGATAAGTAACCATCATGACTGATGATAAGTGCTTTCCTGGCGATGATGTGACCTCATCACAGCCTCCGGCCGTCAGCAGGGCAGGGACTTTTATTGCCTTGGCTCAAAGGAGTAAACTGAAGCCCAGAGAAGGCCAGGGGCTTGCCTAGGACGGGTGGGCACTCCAGCATGGGTGCCTCCTTCCCCAGGTGCCTCTTACCTGTGGTCCCAGCCAGGTAGCCTTTAGCAAGCTTTCTGAGTAGATACATGACTTGGCCAGATGGCCAGAACCTACCCCCCCGCCTCCCCCCCACCTCCTGCCCCACCCCGCCACTTCCTGCCCTTGCTTTCCTGGGACACAGCCAACTGGCACTTGGAGAAGCAGGCATGGGGGAGGGGGGCATGCAAGTCCTACAACAGTCCACCTGTGGCCCTACAGAAGTGACTTAACAAGCTGTCCTTCCCTCCCAGGCACAGCCACGCGTATCGGGAGCAGAGAGCAGGGAGGGGTTGGAGGTTGAGGGGAGGGCAGGTGCAGGAGGGCCTCCAGGCATAGAGCAGACACAAGGCGGGGAAGAAGCACGGAGCTCACACAGGGCTAGAGGACCCAGGTGTGAAGGAGAGGCCAGAAGGATGTCCTTGGGGATCAGCCAGCAGCTCAGTGGAGCTAGAGAGAGATTTGTTGATGCTTTGTTGATGCCAAGAGACCGTTGGCTCAGTCCCACCCACCCGCTGCAGGAAAAACACCAGCAAAGGCAAGAGGTGCTTCTCTCCTCTCTGCTCTGGCTCCCACAGCCCTAAGGCAGAGGAAAACAAGGAAATTTACCTCCAGGCCTGCATCTGGCCCTCTTTCCAAAGCCCAGAGATCTTTTACAGGAACACCTTATAAGACATCTGTTGTTATCACCTTGGTTTTGGGGTCAGAGAGTGCAGGGTTGCCACTCATTTATTTTCTTTTTCTTTTTTGTAACTTGCACTGTGTGATTTTGTGCTGACAGAATTGGATCACATGTGCTGGTTTCTAACTTTTGTTGTTGTTGTTTTGGTTTTGAGACGACGCGATCTCTGCTCACTGCAGTCTCCATTTCTTGGGTTCAAGCAATTCTCATGCCTCAGCCTCCCGAGTAGCTGGGACTACAGGTGCACACCGCCACACTCAGCTGATTTTTGTAGTTTTAGTAGAGACAGGGTTTCAGCATGTTGGCCAGGCTGGTCTCGAACTTCCAGCCTCAAGTGATCTGCCTGCCTTGGCCTCCCAAAGTGCTGGGATTGCAGGCGTGAGCCACCGTGCCCGGCCACACGTGCTGGTTTCTATCAAGGATAAAAACCACCAGATCAGCTCACCCATCTCTGCCCACCCCGTAAACCATCTTTCCAACCCAGGGACCATCTCTGAGCCACAGCTTCCTCCTTTGTAAAAATGAGGATGTTGCAACCCTTCCAGTATCAAAAACAAAAACAGACGTGAAATGAGATGGGGATGTGAAAATGCTTCGCAAGCCAAAAAGGACAAAAGCTGGGAAGCTGTGTATCCATGAGCCATCCTACCAGCCCTGTGACCTTGGAGAAGCCAATTCCATCTCTGAACCCCAACTTCCTCCTTTGTACAGTGAGAACACTGGGGCCCACTCCCCAATCTGAGACACACGTGAAATGAGAGAAGGATGTAAAAATGCTTCGGGAGCCGAAAAGTGTAATACCAAGAGGAGGGAGCAAAGTTCCGGACGCAAAGCAGCTGCTGCTCAGTTCGGATCCTGGTCATATCAGGTGGGAGCTAGGACTTTTCAGACCCCTGTCCCCAGAGTTCCAGGGGCTTGGCCAAGTCCCCAATTTTTTTTTTTTTTTTTTGAGAAGGAATGTCGCTCGTCACCCAGGCCTATAGTGCATGCGTACAATCTCGTTCACTGCAACCTCTGCCTCCCAGGTTCAAGCAAGTTCTCCTGCCTCAGCCTCAAGTAGCTGGGACTACAGGTCCCGGCCACCGCACCCGGATAATTTTTGTAATTTTTAGTAGAGAGGGGTTTTGCCATGTTGCCAGGCTGGTCTCGACTTCTGACCTGAATGATCCACCTGTCTCAGCCTCCCAAAGTGCTGGGATTACAGGCATGGCCCCAAGTCCCAGTTGTAACACACACACATGCAGCTTGCCCTGAGCTCAGCTCCCTGGGAGTCCTTAGCAAAGGGGCAAAAACAGAGTCTCCCTTCTACCGAAGCTCCTGCTGCTTCTGAGCCTAGGGCCGGTGATGGATCACTGTCCTGCAGCCAAAGATCTCAGTGGGCTGAGCATCTTAGCTCCCAGAGCCTGTACTCCATGCCTTCTGGGAACAGGAAGACTAAAGCCAGGGAAGCCAGTGTATAAATTGATTCCTAGGGCGGAAACAGTAGCTCACGCCTGTAATCTCAGCCACTTTGGGAGGCGAGGGCGGAAGAACTCTTGAGCAACGATTCTAGACTAGCCCTGGCCAACATGGTGAAACCCTGTCTATACTAAAAATTAGCCGGGCGTGGTGGCGGTGTGCCTATGGTCCCAGCTGCTCGGGAGCATGGAGGTGGGAGAATCGCTTGAAACCTGGAGGCAAGGTTGCAGTGAGCTGAGATCGCACCACTGCACTCCAGCCTGAGCAACAGACCAAGATCCTGTCTCTTAAAAAAAAAAAACAGTAGGTTTGGCGTGGTGGCTCAAGCTGTAATCCCAGCACTTTGGGAGGCCGAGGCGGGTGGATCACGAGGTCAGGAGATCCGAGACCATCCTGGCTAACACGGTGAAATCCCGTCTCTACTAAAAAAACAAAAAAATTAGCCCAGGCGTGGTGGCGGGCACCTTGTAGTCCCAGCACTCGGGAGGCTGAGGCAGGAGAATGGGTGAACCTGGGAGGCAGAGCTTCCATTGACTGAGATCGCGCCACTGCACGCCAGTCTGCATGGCAGAGTAAGACTCACGTCTCAAAAAAATAGTAATAAAAAATAATCAGTAAAGGATGGATTTTTTTTTTTTTTTTTTTTTGAGGCAGAGTCTCGCTCTGTCGCCCAGGCTGGGTGGCAGTGGCGCGATCTCGGCTCACTGCAAACTCCGCTCCCGGGTTCCCGCCATCTCCTGCCTCAGCCTTCCCGAGTAGCTGGATACCGGCGCCCCAGCCCACGAAACCGCGCTAATGTTTTGATTCTTTAGTAGAGACGGGGTTTCATTGTGTTAGCCAGGATGGTCCTCGATCTCCTGACCTCCGTGATCCGCCCGTCTCGGCCTCCCAAAGTGCTGGGATTACAGGCTTGAGCCACCGCGCCCGGCCGGATTTTTTTTTTTCTTTAGGCAACAAGATCCTATTTCTTTCTGAAGTCCTTGAGCTCAGATTGGAGTCTTGGCACCAGGCTGAAAGGGAGAGTCCCTGGCCCTCAGCCTGATTGCCCACACCAGCGGACCATCCACCCCCTCAGCCTGGTGCTAGGTGATGGCAGGCGTGGCTGACCAGTCTGGCCAGACTGGCTGAGCGGGTGCTGCCCCCAGGTTGGGCACCACGTGGGCCGTGGGTGGGGGCGGTGGCCATGTCTGGGGGTTCTTCTAAGGAAGAGAAGAAAGACCACATTGATGCCTCCTGGCTGGAGTCCCAGGGTCGGGCACTTCTGGTGGCAGAGATGGAAGAGGGGCTGAGCAAAGGGAGGGGACTCGGTGAGAGAGCTTAGTTAGAGAGACTCGGAGGAGATGACCTGTGTGAAGGGGAGGAGGCTTACACAGGGGACAGGACTGAGAGGACCGTTGTTAAATTACTTTCCTCCAAATCGGTGCATCGATTTCGGTTTATGTCTGTCGGTTTCAAAACGTCTGGCCAGGCATGGTGGCTCATGCCTGTAATCCCAGCACTTTGGGAGGCTGAGGCAGGAGGATCGTTTGAGGCCAGGAATTCAAGACCTACCTGGGCAACATAGTGAGACCCTTTTTCTATTTAAAAAAAATTGTTTTTTTTTTAATTAGCCAGGCATGGTCGAATACACCTGTAAATCCCAGCTATTCGGGAGGCTGAGGCAGGAAGATCACTTAAACCCAGGAGTTGGAGGCTACAGTGAGCCATGATCATGCCACTGCACTCCAACCTGCGTGACAGAGCAAGACCTCATCTCTAATAAGTAAATAATTAGCAAGCCCCATATTTGCCATGACCTTCGGCATTCCCACCGTCCTACCCAGCTGTCCAGCCCCTCACAGGCCACTCCCCCACTTCACAGAGAGGTCCATCCGGGTCCCAGGCATAAACCCTCCCTCCCACCCTCCTCCACCCCTCCCTCTGGCTCCCCCCACCTCACTTCAGGGCAGTCCTGTCTCTACTGGACTTTACTCCAATTTCCCAGAGGCGGGGGAGGGAGAGGGCCTAAGGGCTGTGGAATTCCTGAAGACCCTCTAATCTGATGGAGGAGTCAGTCCTCCCCAACCCCACCCCTCCCTCTCCCCATCCAGGGCAGCCTCCTCTTGCCCTGGCCTCTCAGGGAGCGAGCCAGCCAGTAAACCATGTTTTGAGCGTCTGCTTCAGGGCCAGGCACTATGCTAAGTGCCTTCGAATAACATTGAATAACAGGAAATCATTTTATCTCACTGCAAAACAGTGTAGGGGTATCATTGTCGTTCTCTTGTTTTCGTTTTTAAGACATGAAGCCTCGCTCTGTCACCCAGGCTGGAGTGCAGTGGCACAGTCATAGCTCACTGAAGCCTCGAACTCCTGAGCTCAAGCAAACCTCCACCTTCAGCCTCTGGTGTAGCTGGGACTACCGGTGTGCACCCCCACACCCAGCTAACTTTTTGTTTTTCTGTAGAGACAGGGTCTCCCGATGATGCCTAGGCTGGCCTTGAACTCCTGGCCTCAAGTGATCCTCCTGCCTCAGCCTCTCAAAGTGCTGGGATTCCAGGTGTGAGCCACCATGCCCAGCCCGTTCGCATTTTAGAGATGAGAAAACTAAGGCTCTGGGAGCTGATGTGACATTCCAGGGCCCCCAGAATAATGGCAAAACCGGTATTCACACCCTGCCCGATGTCTGATTCTGGGGCTCATCCTCTACCCCTACTCTTCTATTGCCCAGGGCTGGCATGGAGCTCATCAGGGTGTAATCAGCCCAGCCTGAACTGAAATAAACAGCTCCCACGCAGGGAAAACCAGCTCTGTGTGAGCACTGGAGAGGGAAAAATCAACTCTACCTGGGGCACACCAGGCAGGCTTCCTGGAGGAGGTGGCACGTGGAGAGGAAACCAGAAGGGTGAGTAAAAGCTTAGAGACCTATGAAGAGGAGAGCGTTCTCCAAAAAGGAGAGTAGCAGGGACAAAAACAGGGGTGTGTGTGGGGAGGGAGTATCTGTGGAAAACTGAACTTGAGGAGTCGGAAGCCAGGCAGGTGAGGGCGTAGGGCTGGGAAATAAGTTGGGAGCATCAGTGTGGGCCTCAAGGGCGCAACCCAGGAGCTCGGGTCAGTTGGAGGCAGAGTCAGGAGGGCGGTCTTGCTTTGGGCTGGGTGATGGAGGACAGAGGAGGCGGGGCTTCACTGGGAGGGTGCCTTTGTCTCAGGACCAGCCAGGACTCCTAGAGAAGCGCCCCCTGGTCCCAGGCCGGGACAGGCCTTGTCACCAGTCAGCGGAGCAAAGAGCTGGGATCATCCCATCCTGCTCCGTCTTGGAAGATCAGAAGATGCCAGCACACAGAACCCAGAAGCCGGGCACACCCCCGATGACGAGGGTTTACAGAGAAGCTGTCTCTGACACACTAAGAGGCTGAGAGAAACCCGCACGCCGACCAGGAGACTCCTAGGTCAGCAGCCCATGAGTCAGCAGTGACGGAGCCAGGGACAAAACCCAGGAGTCCGGGATCATCAGCACCATCTCGCCCCATTTCCAGGTGACTCAGAGATCATATTATCCCTCCCGGCACAGAGGCCCCAGGCCTGGCCTCTCTGCTGCCCTGTGTCCCCCGCCCCATCTCTCCCACATCTCCCCCCAGCGTGGATGGGCAGACACCAGCCACGCCCTCTCCTGTCACACACAGATACCAATCTCTTGCCTTCTCAGAGCCCAAGAAGTCCAGCTGCCAGATCTTTGCCCTATTGCCAGGTGCTCCTACTGACCCAGCCCTGCTGGAGTCCTCATTCCCTGCCAGCTCCCATGTCTGGATCATCTCAGGCCCCTGGAAGGGCATATCCCTGTCTGAACTGTCCCCTCCCCTGGGGAGTAGGAGGCAGGGTGGGGCCAGGAGCAGCCACACTGGTGATTAGGTTTGAGCTTTGTAATTTTTCAGTTTTTTTTTTTTTTTTTTGAGACAGAGTCTCACGCTGTCACCCAGCCTGGAGTGCGATGGTGCAGTCTCGGATCACTGCAAGTTCCGCCTCCCAGGTTCAAGTGATCCTCCTGCCTCAGCCTCCTGAGTAGCTGGGATTACAGGCGTCCACCACGCCCAGCTAATTTTTGTATTTTTAGTAGAGACGGGGTTTCGCCATGTTGGCCAGGCTGGTCTCGAACTCCTGACTTCAACTGATCCACCTGCCTCGGCTTCCCAAAGTGCTGGGATTACAAGTGTGAGCCACCTCGCTCAACTCAATGCTCTTTTTATATCAGGGCATAAGCATCGTGGCTTGAGCTTTTGAAGTGTGCCTCAGTGTTCACCCACAGCACTCAACTCCCACCTCTTTTCCTTCCTCCCTCCCTCCCTTAATGCTTTCTTGCTTCTCGCCAACTGAGCAGGGGGAGTGTGGATGCCCAGGGGCCTGCCAGCTGCCACCCAGTTGGTGTCACTACCTCCCAGCATCAGTCTCTATCCCCATGTCCCCATACAGGCTGGCTCTCCTCACCCACAGCCGTGCAACAAGCATCCATGTTTATTTTCTTTCAGGCAATTTTATTCCCATTCTTTGCCATCTCAGCAGGCTAGCAGAGAACTCACAGTCCATCCCTCCTGTAGCTCCTGCTCTGACCTAGATATATGCAGTCCCAGGACATCGGGAATGGAAGGCCCTCACTTGTCCCATCAGCCATTGCCCAGCTTTGGCTGCCATGGAAACCTCCAGGCTTCAGTCTATGTGGTCTCTTCAGGGCCTGGGTCTCAGTGGCCTTGCAGCCACACTGAGGAATCAGAAATCACTGGTGGGACCGGACGAGGTGGCTCACGCCTGTAATCCCAACACTTTGGGAGGTCCAGGTGAGAGGATCACTTGAGCTCAGGAGTTCCAGACCACCCTGGGCAACATAACAAGACCCTGTCTCTACAAAAAATAAAAAAATTTTTTAAAGATTTTAGGCCGGGCGTGGTGCCACACACCTGTAATCTCAGCACATTGGGAGGCCCAGGTGGGTGGGTCACTTGAGGTCAGGAGTTCGAGACCAGCCTGACCAACATAGCAAAACCCCATCTCTACTAAAAGTACAAAAATTAGCTGGGCATGGTTGTGCACACCTGTAATCCCAGCTACTTGGGAGGCTGAAGCAGGAGAAATGCTTGAACCCAGGAGGCAGGGGTTGCAGTGAGCCGAGATCAGGCCACTGCACTCCAGACTGGGCGACAAGAGCAAAACTCTGTCTGAAAAAAAAAAAAGGTTTTTTTAGTTAAAAAAAAAATTTTTAACTCCAAAAAATGTATGCAGCTACTTCTGCCCTCATGGAGGGGAGAATAATGTGAGTATGGGCTGTGCACAGTGACTTAGTTCCAAGGGTACAGTACAGGAAGGGTAACCTTACAGTGAGTGGAGAAAGCCGACAATCACTGCCCCAGCCAGGAGATCAAAGTCAACATCAGTAGTTATTTGTCATGTTGATAATCTATACTCGTGATAGAATGTAAAGCAAATGGCACTTTACCTGAGATCTTTCTGCTGCAAACCCATAATCCTAATCTAATCATGAAAAAAACATCAGACAAATCCCAAGACAGGAGCATCTGCGATATAGCTGACCAGCACTCCTAAAACCTGAAGATTGTCCTAACAAGGAAAGTCTGAGACACTGTGGCAGCCAAGAGGAGCATCATTACATGATGACTAAATGTCACCTAGTGTCCTGGGTGGGATCCTAAAACAGAAACAGGACATTGGGGAAGAGCCATGGAAATCAATATATGTAAACAAATGCAAATATGTGTAAATAAATGTAAATGGTATGTAAAGAAATGTAAATTGTATATAAACAAATGTGATATGGGATCCCAGATGAGATGCTGGAACAGAAAAAGGCCATTAGATAAAAACTGTGTGGCTGGGCAAAGTGGCTCACGCTTGTAATCCCAACACTTTGGGAGGCCAAGGTGGGTGGATCACCTGAGGCCAGGAGTTTGAGACCAGCCTGGGCAATATGGTGAAACCCCGTCTCTACTAAAAATACAAACATTAGCTGGACGTGGTGGCAGGCGCCTGTAGTCCCAGCTACTCAAGAGGCTGAGGCAGGAGAATCTTTTAAACAGGGGAGGCGGAGGTTGCAGTGAGCTAAGACCATACCACTGCACTCTAGTCTCGGCGACCAAGCCAGACTCTGTCTTAAAAAAAAAAAAAAAAAAAAAAAACCTGTGGAAATCCATATAAAGCATACACTTCAGTTAATAACATTGTATCAATATTGATATCAACATTGGTTTATTAACTGAAACAAATAGGCAGTATTAATATAAGATTTTAATATTAGGAGAAAGTGTGGGGATATACAGAACTCTGTACGATCTTCTCAATTTTTCTATAAATCTGAAACTGTTCTTAAAAATAAAGCTTGTAGGCCGGGCGCGGTGGCTCAAGCCTGTAATCCCAGCACTTTGGGAGGCCGAGACGGGCGGATCACGAGGTCAGGAGATCGAGACCACTCCCCGGCTATACACGGATGAAACCCGTCTCTACCTAAAAAATACCAAAAAAACTAAGCGCAGGCGGAGGTGGCGGCGTCTGTAGTGTCCCAGCTACTGGGAGGCTGACGGCAGGAGAATGGTGTGAAGCCGGGAGGCGCAGCTTGCAGTGAGCTCGAGAGTCTGGCCACTGCACTCCATCCCTGGGGCGACAGAGGCCGACCACCTCCGTCTCCAAAACAACACCAAAACACAATTCACGCTCTGTCGGCCGGCCGCTGGCTCTACCTTAACTCACAGCACTTTGGCGACGCTGCGGCACGGAGTCTAGGCCCAGGATTCCCGACGACCAACCTGGCAAC